CACACACACACACTAACACACATTTAAATGCCCCTGAAGCCCCTCCGGCTGCGACTAAAAGCCCCCTCTCCGCTGCGCTTCTATTGGAAGTGACAGTGACGCTGGCTTATCAGGCCGCGATATATCTGAGTGTGTGTGTGCGTTAAAGTGTGTGAGACGGGGAAGCCGGCCAGATGGATTATTGACGGGCCGGCTGTGTGTGTAATTTGTCGGTCAGGTTGTGAAGATCAGGGCCACAATTAAAGCTTGCTGCTCCGCTGGGCCTCACACACACTTTATACTGTCACTGGATATTAGAGTTAACCGTGTGTGTGTCGGTGTGTGTGTGTGTGTGTGTGTGTGTGTGTGTGTGTGTGTTTTATCTCCTCTACCTGCTCAAACCAAACCTCTGTCTTCTTGTCTCTGTGCATCAGATGCGAGCGATGCGACCGCAGCTTCACACAGGCCACTCAGCTCAGCCGCCACCAGCGACTCCCCAACGAGTGCAAACCGGTGAACGAGAGCAGCGAGTCCATCGAGGTGGATTAACCTCCGACCCACCGACCCACCGACCCACCGACCCACCGACTGTTTACCGACCGACGCTGCATCCACACTGAGCCGGCCACGTCTCCGTCCACACCGACACTCTCCTCGCCCCGACGTCCACGTTTTCCCCTGAAAGAAGTCAAACTGCAGCCGTTTTAATCCCCGTCCTGGCAGAGAGCTCAGAGGGAAACCGGGGGCTTTGATCAATCGCTGTAGTTAATGAGTTCACAACTTATAGACAGCCGACGGTTTGCAGGTTGGAACAGTTGCCTCTGGAAATTAGCTCCACGGCGGAGACGACGGAGCAGCTTTCAGGGCGTTCAACAGCAGCTAATTCCAGATATGAAATTGATTTATGTGGCGCTCCGGCTGCAGCTCCTTTGCTCGCAGCCGGCAGACGCCCCGAATATAATCTCTAATTTTTATTTATTCGTATTTATTTTAGCCGTCTTGAAGCAAAGCGTCCTGATTTCATCAGTGCTGCGATTCAGCCGGACGTCGGTTAAACCGTTAAACCGTCTTCCTGTCACGTGGTTTTTAATCTGCATTTTGAAACATCGCCGTCACAAAATCAGAAAAGCACAAAAGTTTTCACATTTTACTGTTTTTGTCTCCATAAAGATAGAAAAGCTGACGTGGATGAATTATTACAGAACAACCACCGACTCGTTATTCTCCATAAAGTCTTGTTTCTTCTTCTGCGTCCAGGTTTTGTTGGCAAACATCTGGTTTTGTTCCCGTCTTTATGACAACCACACAGCCTCATCCAAACAAGAATAATTCACATTTTCTTTCTTAAACTTTTTCAGAAGCGCCACAAGTTTTCGGGTGTTAACATGTAGACGCGTGTTGCTGTAGAACTTCTGCTCATGAAGACGAGGTTTAACCTTTTATAGATGATATAACAAAGTCCAGCTGATGGAGGAGGCTGGAGGCCAGCAGGGGGAGCTGTTGTCGCCGCGTGTGGACGGAGACGTTGAGGCGTGTTCGGGCGTCGCCGGCTTCCTGTGGATGCAGTCCGACGACTGGACCGACTTGTGGAGCAGCGACCTTCATCCTGCTGGAGAGAATCCTGATTCACTCAAACCAAAGATCCTTTTTTTGTTTTGTTTTGTTTTTCCCAGCAGAGAACTTTCAGACGGACGATTTAAAGAACTTGTGAGGATATTTATTGGAGACGTTCGGGAATCCCGGCGGGTTTCCCTCCAAAGAAAACTCTTTTGTTTTTGTTTTTTTTCTTGAAACCGGGACAAAAACAATGAAATACCAAAAAATTCAGACTGGTTGTCTGTCTGTAGCTTTACTTCTCGGTTTCTTCTTTTGTTTGTTTTGCAACAGCGATGCCAAAGGAGGGCGCGACCAAAGCTAGCGGACTGAGGATGCACAACGAGGCTTTCACATCCAACAACCAGACGGCGTCTTGTACAAACGAAGAAGAGAAACGGACTAAAGAGACATAAATTCTATTTATCTTCTGCCTCATATCATGCTTCGGGCACTTTTTGTTTTGAAATGTTGATAATTTAATTGTTTTCGCAGCTCAAATGTAAAGATGTCAGAGGAAGGAGGAGCTCAGTGGTTTCTTATAGAAATAACGCTGAGCCGGTCAAAGTGGTTCAACAAACAACTCTTTTCTTACATCCTCCATTTTTTAAGAGCTTCAGCATCAAGAGGCACAAACGACTCAGACGAGGGGCGAATCTTTGACGTTTTAAGAATCCTTTCTCATCTTTTTATCCCACGACAAACGTCTCATAGAGTATATTTGCTACGCGAGTCCGTTGACGAAGCGATCTCAGATGTGTAAATAGTCCGGAGAAGAAAACAGAAAAACACTCTTTGTATGAACCAGTGAGGGTGAAAAGCACAGTTATTACAGGAACACCAAATCGGTTTTTGTGCCTGAGAGTTAACAAAGCTTTAATAATAATGATTATAATGATTTGAAAAGTGTAACTTGTCTTTCCAAAGACCGACCGAGTGTTGAAACCCGGCGGATGTGAACCTGCAGACCAAAACCTCTTGAGGGGACGCTTCAGTCCAGGACAAGTCCAGAGCAGCTTCCTTCAGATCTGTCTGGATCCTGAGCTGCAGATCTGCTGGTCCCGACGTTTAAACACTCAGAATCTGTAGAAGTCCGTGTTGGGAAGCTTCAGAACCAGATCACAGACCTGGTTCTGTGTTTAGAGAAGCTGAGGTCCTGACGTCTTCTGTCGCTCTCACACTGAATCTGTTTCACTAGTTTCGGTTTCATTTTGTAAAGTCTACCAGAGCTGTGGCCTCGTTGGTTCGACAATCTCTGGTGTCGCTTTCACAATTTTAGAAATCAAATGTTTGGCGCCACAAAGCGTTCGCATCTGTTAGAACTCCATCAGTTCATTTGCAGCGATCGTCTGATGCTAACGAGATGTTTTATCTCCTCCTGAAGCAAACTGATGAGGTCCAGCCGAGGCGCTGACTTAGTTTCACCATCAGTAGAGCTGCTGGATGTTGTTTATCTTCAGCTTCAGGTAGACGTGAAGCTCAGCGGTCCAGACGGTCCAGACTCTGTTCTGGTCCTCCAGGTGTTTATGGAACCAGCAGATCTGCAGAACCAACATGTTCCTCAGACTCCTGGAAGTGAAGCGTCCCTTCGTCCAGATCGATCCGGTGCTGTACATAGAAACATGCAAACTGTGGGGTTGTTTTTATATGTGTTGGGTCAGCGGGGCGGAACCAGAGCTCCGGAGCGGACCCGCTTTCTGCTCACGATCCGACGAGCGCGTTCATCTAAAAACACCTGAACGTGCCGGCGCTGAACGGGCCGGATGACGTGAGCAGAACGCGGGTCGCACTCGGCTCCTCTGTGGACGATAATCAGGTCAGAAGGACTCCTGAGGATCCGGTCTGACTCGACCCGTGTTTGCATGATCTTCCCCGACTCCCCGCTCCTTTTTTTATCGAATGACAAAAGTGAGATCAAACACCAAACAGACGTTGTTCCATCGGAAATAAAAGCTGAAATCCAGTTTTGATTCTTACCGAGACTCTCTGTGGCTTCATTGTGTTTCTGTGTTCAGTCGTAAAGAGGAAACAGCCGGTCTGGCATCAGGAGAACATCCAACCAACCTGCCGCTAAACGCACCAATTAGCTCCTTAAATCTAATCAGTTTAAAGGCAGAAGTGTTAAAACTACAGATCACAGCTTCAGGTGGATCCTGTGGTGGATTAAAACCTCCTACTGGAGTGTTTTGTGTCTAAAAAATGCTCCGATTACCAGCTTTAGTCTAGAAAAGTCAAACTGTCTGATTGTTTTTACATTATTCTAAGATTTAGGGTTTAAAATTCATGTTGTGTGATTTATTTTTATTATTTTTTGTCTGAAATAATTGACAGTTAATTGATTAATTAGTTGGTTTCCTTTGATATTAACTTTAAATCACCAAACGAGTAATTTAATCAAAAGGCTAATTAACGAGATCGTAGTTTGATTGAACCCCAGAGAGCCTCCAGTGGTTCATCCAATCAGTGAGCTGCTAGCTGGATGTCGTTAGCCAGGCTAGCTGTTTCCCGTCTTTGTGCTAAGCTAGGCTAAGCTAACCTTCATATTTCCCCCACAGATGGAACTCAGCGCTCAGAACGTCGTCTCCATTCACGCTGAGACGCTAATTACCCGCGAGGTGCGAAAAAGCCTGAGGACGTAGCTGAGGGGTAAAGTTAGCGCGTTTTTCTGCCCTAATGGCGGCTGGATTTTGCCCCTGGGCGGTTTGCTGTGTTTCCACACAGGAGGTCGGTCCGCCGCCAGCTGCCTCCACTTAGCGCTAATAATGTGTAGCACCCGCAGCCCCGCCTTGACCTCCGCTCCGCCGGCCCGCTAACCGGGTTTTCCACTTTCCAGGCTGATTTTCAGAGATTATTCCTGCGAGGATTCGACAAAATTCACCAAAACAAACACGGCTGGAGCTCTCGCACATCAATCACGGCTGTTTTCTCGCCGTGGGAACCGGATCCGAACCCCGAAGCCAAACAAACGGTCGCAGGAGTTTCAGGACTTTTTCTTCTCTTTCCTCTTTTTTTTTTTTTTCTGGCCTCATAAACGTCTGACAAAACATGCGAACGAGTCCAGATTAGATTACACGTAATGAGATTAGGGCCGCGATAGTTTTAATTAGGAGCAGTTAGTGTGAAAGAAGGAAAACAAACGCAGGAGGAAAGCCGCCGACGGAGGAGGAAGCAGCGTTTGTTTGGACGAGGCCGAAAAGAAAAGACATTAGAGGAATGTGAAGCTGATGTATGACCTCGAAACAACACAGAACAAGTTCAGAAAGAAAACCGATGCTTCAGCGACAGCACATGACATCATGACGACTGGGAGACGACTGGGAGACGACTGGGAGACGACTGGGAGAACTGGTTTCTGTCACCAAACCTCCACGACGGGACGCTTTCAGTGATGAAACTCATATTTAATCAGGTTCTCAGGTGACGTGAGGAACCGCTGGAGTCCAACTTTAAGTCTCTGTTGAACTGAAACCCGATTCTTCGAGTCACGTTTTTACCTGCAGCTGATGACAAACGCTCGTCTTTGTGCTTCAGACTTGTAAATAAATAGATTTTATCAGCCGTCTTTTCCTGGAGATCTCCTGAAATCGCTGCTTACCGTCGGACGCTACGATTCACAGACGTCCCCTAAACGCCTCACCTGCAGGAAGTCGCTGCCGATTGGCTCAGACAGGTGAGCGAACACCTGTTGGAAAAACGTTTTGGATCCAAACGGTTTCATCACCACCGACTGTTTTCTACGAGTCCATAAACGCTCGTGTTGGTTTAATCGCAGGACTTTTTTATTAGTTTCTGATCCGTGTTGTGGCTCCACTGCTGCGTTACCTCTCGTATTTGTGTGTTTCTTTGGATAAAAAAGTAAATTTGTGCAAAATTATTCAGAAAACGAGTCGAAGTTTGAGCAAAAATGGTCCGAAAGTGACTCAGAAAGTGGTTCTAAGTGACTCAGAACGGGTCAA